GTTTCAGTGCAGGAGAAATACTTAACATTATACTGAAAATGAAAGCTTCTGCCTGTTAAAAAAAGAAAAAATGGGTCTGATGGATTTTTCCATGGATGGGAATTTCTGCAACTTCAAAACAATAAGAATGTTTGTTTACATCAAAGAAAAAAATGTCGCACTCTATTCAGTTTGTGGTGATACTGAGAGTGACAGGGTGGGAGTGAACAAATGCACACTTTATAGGATTGTGTTTATAAGAGTCATTTTGGGTCTGGAAACATAGCATCCTGTTGAAGGTTCAAATCCTCAGCTGGTAGTAAGTGCTGCTAATGTGACAGGCTTAATTTTAGAAGTAGAAAGCCAAGGAAAACAGGCACAATAAAAGGCACTTTTAACTATTCTGGGTGAATATACCTTTTGAAACAAAGGGAAGAAGGATGTCGTTCTATTCTGTTCTTGTATTCAGCCTTCCCTGCCTTGGTTATGATTTGGTCACTTACCTGAGCACAAGTTTTGAGCCCCCATCTCTCTTCAGCAGAAAAATTGCTTTTGATTTCAGTAAGAGTTTCCTTGGCTTTTGAGGGAAGAGTACACAGACCCTTCACTTCCAGGCAATAAGTATCTACCAGTCCTCAGGAAGAAAGTAAATTGGGCAGAGGTAGCTGTTTTCTGGTTGCTAATAATTTCAGGACTATGTTATGACATAAGCTATCAAATTCCAAAGGCAGCAAGTGTTCTGGGTATTGGACAAGTCACATTGCTTAGAGGAAAAAGACTCATGAACCTATAGTGAGTTTACAAAGCTGGTTTCATCTTCACATCTGAAAGTCCAATATATTTCCAAGTAGAAAGAGTAGCATGAGCTGATGACAATGGGATGGGTAATTTAAATACATCTCTGTTTAGCATTTATTTCCCTCCAAGAAAAAAAACCTTACCTTTTTTCGTGTTGTTTTTAAACACAAATAGCAATTTTATAAACTTACTTGCATATTTTGGAACAAAAGAATCAAAATAATTACAAGTATATGTTTTCTGAATAATCCCAAGTTTAAAGCTGGTTAGTTCTACTTTTGGAGGCAGGAAAGCAGCTTTCCCTTTTCCACTAGCATCAATATGATGATTGCTGTTAGACTCTTCTCTTGAAAGACAACCATAAAGATTAATGCCACTTTGGTGGGTTTCTATTTTTTTAAGGCAATTCTGCACTGTATTTATTTGAATGCTATGACACGAGAACAGAGAGCTGGCACACGAAGCCCAGCATGCTGACTCAGCGCTGCAGCCATGGAATGGTGGAGGCCAATGGGCTCATTTATGTGTGTGGAGGCAGCCTGGGGAACAATGTTTCCGGAAGAGTCCTGAATTCCTGTGAAGTTTATGACCCAGCCACAGAAACGTAAGTGTTGTTTTAAGTCAGGTTGGCTTCAGTCTCTTGTGTAAATGACTGAAGTGTAGATGACTACAGGAAAAACTCTGGTAAGGAATTTTCCCTGAGTCAGCATAAAGAAATCAGTTCTTTGTAGTTCTACTTGAAAGATGTTTTTTCTTAAGCACCTTTCTTCCATATTTTATTTTCCTAATGATAGGTTATACTTAGTTTCTCTGAATCAGATGGTGATTTGTCTTTTTTTGTTTGATTTATTTTCCCAGGTGGACTGAACTGTGTCCAATGATTGAAGCCAGAAAGAATCATGGGCTGGTGTTTGTCAAGGACAAAATATTTGCTGTGGGTGGACAAAATAGTTTAGGTACTTTCATTCTATTAATTCTCTGTCTGGTCACACAAAGTTTCGTGGGGTTGTTTTTCTGTTTTGGAATGGATTCATTCCACTCTGTTCAGCTGTAGAGCTTTGAACAGCACCATCAAACATGTCTTCTTGTTGTCACATCAGTGTTGCCTTCTTCCTTTCACCTCCCCACTTCATTGTTACCTTATTTTTCAAATTCTTGTACTCATGATAGTCAAGTTCAGATATGCACCCCTACTGTAGCCCAGTTCTGAAGCAGTTAATATGGCTAAACCAGGCATCTGAGATTTTGTTTGTTTGTTTTTTATTTTGGGGTTTTTTTTTTAGTTATTCATGATTTTAGCATTCTTTTGAGAGACAGGTAAAGGTGTAGCCACTATTTTAAAACTTTACTCTAAAGACTTAAATCTATTCTGCTATTGTAGAATGGTGAAAATGTGAGACCTCTTTTGACAGCTCTAGCTTTGAAATATGATTTGCTGTCATGGCCAGGTCAATTAGGATCTGCCTGTCTCCTTGTCTTTTAAAACTAGAAGAATAATACTTTACAAGAAGAATTGAATTTTAATTGCACAGAGTTTCTGAAATGCTTTTCAAAATGGAAAAATTCTCATTTATGAGGTTTTTGAACTCACTATTTACAGTAAGTGGAATTCCTGATTTCAGATAAATGCTGTTTTAGAATACAGCTTGATTTTTAATTGGCTACTGAAACTATTCCATCATGATTGATTCCCAAACATTTTATCAATCTGTAATCTGCCATCTTGCAAAAATAAGTTTATTCATCAAATGCTCCTCTTAGAAGTGTTAAAAATTGTTCTTACCGTAGTAAAATGAGGAAGAGTTATGTCTGAGTTTAAAAACTCATATATGTTAATGTGATAGATTTCTTGATCTCTCAGATCTAATAATTGAGTACTGGAAGTAAAACCTGAGTTAAATAGGGACAGCAGCATGTTTGTAGCTATTGTTAAGTGTAATTACTAGCATATGTCCTGAATAAGCAAATCTTAGTCACAAAATATACTCTAATAACTTTTTGTTCCTTTGGCCCTTTTCAAAGGAACTTAGGCTTTTTCACTTTGATGATTTTAGTATCATCATGACAAGAAACCTCCTCTATCAGTAAATTGCCAGTTTTGGTAAAAGTACCCGTGAGCCTTCTAGAATGAAATGACACTGCTGTAGGGAAATTTCAGGTAATTCTTGAGTTTTAGTCACTAGCCCCAAATTTGTCAGAAATTCAGCACTGAAGCTTCTTCTGTTCATGAAGTAACATGTTTGAATCTGTAGAAACCATCTAGTGTGAATTTGTGAGAATACATCTTACTTTCTATCTCCTTTTCACTTTTCCCTGGTTTTGTATTTATACAAGGATAAGCTTCTAGTTTAGAAGCTGGGGTGTATTATCAGATTTGCTTTTTTTAGTGTAAGATTTTTGAAACCTTGAAAATAAAGACTTGAGTTTGCATGCTCTAGTGCAGTCCATACAGTGCAACATAATAAGCAGTTATCTATCTCATTGCTTTGTAGGTGGCCTTGATAATGTAGAATATTACGATATCAAGATGAATGAATGGAAGATGGTGTCTCCAATGCCATGGAAAGGTGTAACAGTGAAGTGTGCTGCTGTGGGACCTATAGTCTATGTCCTGGCTGGTTTTCAGGGTGTTGGTCGCTTAGGGCACATTCTTGAATATAACACTGAAACAGACAAGTGGACAGCCAACTCCAAAGTCCGTGCTTTCCCAGTGACAAGTTGTTTAATCTGTGTTGTAGACACTTGTGGGGCAAATGAAGAAACTCTAGAGATCTGAAGACTCTAGGAGATGCCGAAGCATTCTTCAAGGACTTAGGAAAAGATGGTTTTGGTGCTTTGCTTCCATGTTTTACTGAATCGTGTTAAATTTAGTAACAGGAAGAAATTGAGATGCAGTCTTTTAATTTGTATATACAGCATATTGTATAATGTGGATTTTTGTCATGCCCATTTTCTTGTCTGTTTTAAAGAGATGGGGATGTGTTTTGAGAATCCACTAACCTAGGTGATATCACATGGCATCTTCCTTTAAAAGAACTGTAGGTGTGGCCTTGTCAAACAGAGACCCAATCCAAATATCTAGAATGCCTCTAAAGCATTTGATAAAGAAAAAAATTCTGGTTAAATTTTACCAAGACCAGTTGCAGAGACACTTCCTTTAATGAAGGAGAGTAAATACAGCTTGACTCATGAGAAAGAGGAACAACAATTTTTTCTCCTTCATACCTACCTGCAGAAATCTTACTGGGATGAAATGAAGACATTTTCTCAGGAAAGACCAGGGACTGCTGTCTAATAAAGATTCCCAATGTTTCAACAGCTCTCTAGATCATGATAGCTGGCTTCTTCCAGTGAGTTTCTTCCATCATTTGCATGACTGCTTATCAATGTTTTAAGGTTAGAGACGCCATACATAAAAATTAGAGGAACACTGATGGTGTCTGGCATTTTGTGGAGCCTTCACAGAAAGACTTTTTTGATTTTATTTTTTTTAATTACACTGAGGTAGGGAATGGTGGGGCAAGTTGACGACAATTGTGCACTATAATTAGCAAGTTGGAAACTTGGAAAGAATTTTTAATCTATCTTCCCAGGCATCAGACTGTACATATTGTAGATGCCAAACCTTTAGCAAATATGGGAACAGGAATGAGAAAAGCAAAGTCAATACGACACATATATTGATTTTCTTCTTGAAAATGACTGTTTTTAAAATGGCATGAACCAAGTAATTAAAGATACTTTACAGAAGTCTTCAGAAGTTGCACATGGTTATTCATCTCTCGTTTAGAAGTACAGAGTTCTGTAAATGCTTCCAGCCCACGTGATGGTAAATTTCTTCATGCAGCCTCAAAGTCCAGCCTCTCAAGCTTTGGGTGTCATCGACATTGTGTGCTTCTTCCCAGTTCTGGAAAACTATACAAATGACATCTGTCCTGCTCCTGTGCTAGTTTATTCATAGATGCATCATAGTTTTGTCACCTCTCTTCTAACTTGCTGATTTTTTCAGGTCTGGTTCTATGAGACTAGTGAGTTAACTTCAAAATTTGGTGCTTGCTTGCCTCTACTTCGCTTGTGCTGTGGATTTTTATTCTGTTTTAGTTCTGAAGTTGCTCCAGCTTCTCCTAAGTAAATCCTGGTTTTTCCAAGTCAGTACTTCTTAGTAGACTTGATCCTCATTTCCTTCCTCATCCTGACAACTCTGCCTGTACAGACAGGACTAGATGCACTCACGGCCTCCATTGTGGTTCCTGCAGCTCCCTTCTTTATTCAGCAGTAAGTGAAGGGCGTGCGACTTTTTTTGTTTACCCTTGCCTTTTCACTTCTCCTGGCCACGATACGTGTTGCTGGTGTCTCCGCTCCTTGATTCCGCACTACTGGAATTCTGAAGGGAACTGTGTGCTTTTTGGACTGGACAGGCTCTTTTATCTGTTTTGCATCCGCTTTTAAACTCGCGGCCCCCGTTGTCGCTAGGGGTGAATAGTCCCGGCAGCGCGGGGCGGCGGCAGCGCGGGGCGGGCGCGCTCCTCCTTCGGCTCTGCGGGGCTCGGGCCCTGTGCCGGGAGCGGCATCCCCGCTCCGCGGGCCCCGCACCCCCGGCGCTCCGTGCCCGAGCGCGGCGGGACGCGGGCGGCTCCCGCTCCTGCCCCGGTGCCCGCCCCGTGCGGCCGCTGCCGGCGGGAGCCCCGGGGCAGAGCGGGCCGGGCGGGTCTCGGCTGCGGCTGTCGGGGCAGCCTCTGCTTCGGCACTCCCAGGATTGTGCGCTGCCTGAAGGACTGCGGGAGGGGCCACGGGGCCGTGGGAAAGCAGCCCGGGCATTTCTGCTGCCGGGAGCGGCTGCAGCAGCTGCGTGCTGTTCCCATTCTCGCCGCCTTCGGTGTGGGGCAGCTTCGGAAGGCGAGGCACTAAACGGAGAGCCGAAGGCAGCGCTTGCCTGTCTTTATTCGTGCTCGAAGAGACGGCGTTTGCCAATTCATCTGGGGCGTTTACGCCTCCGGAGTTCTGTAATGAATCCTTCGTGTCTCCCACTGTAACTGTTTCAGGACAAGACGACGTACCGAGCCCCGTCTTTGTAACTATGGAGGGTGGTTAGAAGTATTAATCTGTTTTCTTGGAAGTTTTTGATCTTTCCTGTCCATGCAGGCTTTTCAGATGTCTTCTTTCAGAAGAACTGCACCTGGAGTACTATGACAGCAAACTATAATTGAGAAATGTGTAAGCAGTTTAAAAATGATGACTTATGGGGACAGTCTTTGGGATAAGACTTGTTACCAATCTTCAGGTGGCAACTCTTGACTTATCTCCCAACTCTAGGAGATGATCAGAATGCCAAAATATCCTTCAATTCCTGTGCATCAAGGAGAATGCCAAAATAGCAGCTGGTCCATATGGTCTACCATACCATCATCTTTTTGTCTGAGATCTCTGGCTCAGAATGTCCAATCTGATATTGCTTTTTATGTAAAGATATAAAAATTTGATATAAAGGCAACAGTAAGAGTATTTAAATGAATCCTGTATTAATAACAAAAAAAATCATCTTTTCCCCTTGAAAGGGAAGGAAAGCAAGATTCCTCTGTTGGATTAGTGAAGTTTCTTTTCTGATTCTAAATATTTTTGTTGACAGACCACATTTGTTTTTTTTTTATTTTTTTAAAGCCTTCCCCAGTAATAAAAATATGCACTTTATTTCTCTCTCTTTTCAGATAGATGCTGTTGAACTGTTAGCAGAACAGTGGGAAAATTGGCTGATACAGTTGAAAGCTTTAAATGCGGTAGCCAAAGCAGCATTGGTAGGTGTTCACAAATGGCAAAGTATCTGTGCTTGATGTCATTTTTAATGAAATAATTTATACAGCTGTTTATTATGGCTAAAAAGAGATTTCTGAGATGTGGCAATTGTGATGTGCAACCTGGGCATATTCTCAGGACTCCAGAAATCAGTGAATCCCAGGTGCTATTATAAAACCCTTCAGTTAACTGGGGAAAAACGTCCATAGGGATGGTTCCATGGTAGCAAGGCAGCAGCTGGATCCCGGCTTTGGAATACTCTCATTGCAAGCCCCATGAAAACAACCTGAGCTTCAGTTTGGCATCTGGCTGTGTACATGACCAGGAAGAGGCCAATCCCCACCACACCTTTTTCCCATGTACTGATGTTGACTCTTCCAAGAGAGGATCAGCAAACTGGACCAGAATTCCCCTCCAGACACCTTAGGATAAATGGAGCATTTGGCCAATGTCAGAATTGAGGGATAGGTGGGAGAGAAGCCTTTGGATGCCATTTGAAGACAGAAAGAGTCATTGGTGCGGGGAAGGTGACAAACACTTGAGAATGGAGATGGGTTTGCAGAAGCAAATGCCTGAGTTGGAGCCCACGTGAAATAATCAGAGAGGCAGAGGAAGTGGCTCTCTTTGAGTGCAGGCTGCATGAAGTGCAGGGAAGGTTGGGTGATGTGATGCCAGCCCTTGGTCTGTTCAGTGCTGAGGGTGGACAAGCAGGATTTGGGCTTTCCCACAGGAGACAGTGACAGACACAGATGTGCTGAGGGCAGAGAAGGGAGTGAGTCAAAGCTGTGCCCTAAATACAGTCACAGAGCACAACCTGGAATGGTAAGAGGTGAGAATGAGAGCTCCCAGAGGGGATCAAGTCATGGACTGACAGGCAAAAATCGATCAGTTGTTACAGATTTGCATTTCTGGAGGGTTTTACAGAGAAGAGCAGGTATGGCCTTAGAGCACTTAGAGCTCTGCAAGAACAGGCAGTTGTGAGGAGTGATCACTGTTGAGCTTGGTTGGAGTTGGCTTCAGTAGGACTGGGCAGCTCTGGGTCTGTTTCAACTAGTTACTGAGAGAGAATTCCCTGTTTTGGAATCTAGTTTTCATGTCTCTGTCTCTGGAATTTTTTCAGCTCTCTGCTTTCAAGGCCACAGTCACTCAAGCAGCACCTGCCTTTGGAATGGGAGGACAGCAAACCTCAGCCTTTGGGCTGTCAAGTAAGTTCCTCGTGCTAAGAGCCAAAACATTTACACATTTTCTGTAGTTTGCTGCTGCATCTTTGAAACTCAGCAGTTGTTCAGTATCCCTAGGGTACCAATTCTAATATTTTTTTGTCAATTCTTTGCTTGCAGGCTTTCCTGTGAGCAGCAGCAGCAGTACCAGTGCCAGCAATTTCTCCTTTAAAGCCAGCTCCAGCCTCATCAGTCCAGCATCATCTGGGAGCAGCCCTGCTGCTGGGAGCTCTTCTGCTGCTGCAAATCCTCCTGCATTTGGGACAGCATCCTCTCCCAGCACAGCCCAGTCCGTCGGCTTTGGCAGCCCGGCCGCTGCATCCGCAGCCTCCTTCTCCTTTAAAGCAGCTGCCACGGCCGGTGCCTTTGGGACTTCTGGCTTCTCAGGCTTTGGCAGTGCTTCTGCTGGGAGCTCTGCAAGCAGCCCTGCAGCAGCCTTTGGAGCCTTTGGTGCCACCGTAGCCCCTTCTGGCTCGCCCTCGAGCGGAGCTTTATTTGGGCAGGGCGGCAGTGCCACTGCACATCCTGTCACCTCAGCGTCTGCTGCAGCCACCAACGCCAGCCCTGCCTCAGACAAGTTATTCACTCCCAAGAGCGAACTGTCAGCTGAAGAGTGGCAGCAGTTTGAAGCAAAGGAGTTCACAATTGGGAAGATTCCTCTGAAGCCACCACCAGTAGAACTTTTAAATGCTTTCGACCTTTTAAGTTTATTTTGAAATGTTGTTAATTTTTATTTCCTTTCTCAGTTCTCTTCTGCAGAAACAAATGCACAAGTATAAACCTTTGAACCTTGTATTGGGATGGACTTCTTACATCTGAAAGATGAACTGTTGAAACTAAAATAGAACATTTCCTTCTATATGCTGTCCTGTGAAATTCGGTACAAAGGCTATATGAAAAACATGGTGTCAAAAGAAAGAATGTTTCAGTGAGATATTTAAAACCTCCTCTTGTATCAATATATTATCTCCAAATATACAGTCCCTGGGATGTAGGACTGGCCACAAAAGCTTTTTTCCCCATTGCCCCAACAATTGATATTGTAAATTTTTTGGTGAGCCCTTACTGATAGCTATTACTGAATGTGTGCCTTTGCTGTCTGTCTATAATCTGTTGTTTTATTCCCCAACTTTACTGATACTAGATGATCTGTGAGGGATGCCTCAATAATTTCCTTCAGTCCCCTTCACTAATTATCAAAATCCTCCAGCATTCTAATGTTTACATCTTTAAGTTGACCCTTCCTGTCCACAAATGGCACATGGATTCAGGTCAGAAGGAGGGGCCATTTCAGAGCCCAAAAGCCCTGCCTATCCTTTTGCCTTGTCTAATACCATTCTCTTCTCATCCACATTAAAAAGGGGTTCAATATAGCCTACATATCCCACCAATTAGGGCTATGAGTCAGCATGATAGTTTCCAAAAGCTGATACATTCCTTCAGGATTCTCTCATTATGAACCAACAGATCATTTCCAATTCAAAAAATCAAAAGTAGTACAAGGAACAAGGAACATGTCCAGAAAAAAAATGGCTGATGCTCTGACCCCACTGCTTGTCTGTGCTCTATATTTTGAGCTGTATCCTCTTTATCCATCTCCACCCTGCTGTTTTAGGGGTGTGGAATGAAGGGAAGTAACATTTGCACATAAAACCTCATCCCCTTTTCCAACATCCACTGTAAAATAATATTAATTTGCAATGACACATTTTCCCCATACTCCAATTTATAAAGTGGCCACTCGTGATGACAATATTTCTTCATTTTATCTTCAGTCACTGGATCTCCCCTAAACACATTCCAGCTTTTGGGGATGCATCCTAGATGCTATGGGGAAGAAATGGGGATTGGCATGTTCCCATCATTTAATTTATTAACATTCATGTTATGCAATTCCTTTACCCTTAGGTCCAGACCTTCAGTAGTTACACAACCCCAGTCCCCCTGACTAGTTACACTGATAAATATACACCATTTGAAAGAGGAACACTGGTGTACCTACTGATCCAAGAATTCTATTCCCCTTTTTGCACTTACTTGAGTCTCTCTGCAGCATTGCATCTTGAGACTGGAGAGGATTTGATGGAGTCCATGATCAGCTGGTCAGTACATGCTGCAGTTCTGTCTCATCCAATTCTCCATTGCCAGAGGAAGCAAGATGGTCTAGTCAAGGCTTTTGGCTATCCCACCTGGACACCCAGAACTCCCAAATATGGATTCCACTGGGTGCAAGAAGCAGATTTGCACGCAGAGTAGAGTTCATAGAATATCCTGACTTGGAAGTGACCCACAAGGATCATCGAGTCCAACTCCTGGCCTTGCACAGGACCATCCCCAAGAGTCACACCATGTACCTGAGCCCTGTCAGGTTGGTGCTGTGATGATTTCCCTGGGGAGCTTTCTTAACACCCAACCAGCCTCCAGGTCAAGAACCTTTTTCTAATACCCCACCTAAACCTTCCCTGACACAACTTCAGGCCATTCCCTCAGGTCCTGTCACTGATCAGTGGTGAGAAGAGATCAGTGCCTGCCCCTCTACTGCCTGAGAAGTTGTAGACTGCAACTCATCTCATCTTCTCCAGGCTGAACAAACCAAGTGCCCTCAGCTGGTCCTCATACAGTTTCCCCTCAAGGCCCTTCTTGATCTTCACTGCCCTCCTTTGGATGCTCTCTACCAGCTTTATATCATTCTTCTCCTGAGGTGCTCAAAACTGCCCCCAGGATTTGAGATGAAGCCACCCCAGCACAGAGCCAAGCGGGACAATCACTCCCTTGCCTGGCTGGTGATGCTGTGGCTGATGCACAGAGATCTTTGTTACATGGCTGTGCACATGGGCAGTGAATCCCTAAATGTAGCACAGCCTCTGTGTGCCAGCCAGCCACTTTTATACACTTCAGACAGCAACAGCTCAACATCTCCGAGCTATGCTGTACCTACAGTGAGAGGACTACAGAAAATGGCCTTAGCCTAAGACAGGGAGATTCAGGTTAGATATTAGAAAAAAGTTTTTCACTGTTAGGGTGGTCAGACATTGGAATAGGTTGCCCAGGGAGGTGGTGGAGTCACTGTTGCAATATGTGGTACGATTTTCCTAAGAAAGGATGTTGTTTAATGCCTGATCTTTATATACTTTCAAACCTAATCAACAAGAAGGGAGATTTAATCCCTGAAAGAGATAGCAGCTGGCAAGCTCTAAATGTGCTCATGTGTTAGAAAAACAAATTATTTGTAGGTAGAATTGCCTTGTTAGGGTTCAGGGCTGGACATGCTTCAGTGATCTCAGCCCTGGGTGAGGTTGACAAAGCTTGGGAAGAAGGAGTTACCACTGATAATGGACACAAAGAATGCAGAATTTACATGCCACAAGAATATTTGTCAGAACCCTCAAGATAAGGAAGAAAAGAATAAAAACAACTCAGCAACTGTGCTGAAACCAGCTGTGACTGGGTAAAAGGTAGTTCCAGCAGGGGGATCTGTGACCAGCAGCTCATGGATCACCAATCCAAGAAACCCATGGGCCCACAAGAAGAAAAAGACTGAGCATGAGGACTAATTGACATGAGAAGTGAGAGAACAATTAACCAATAGAAGATAGAATACGAATTAGTAAGAGAGCTGTGTAACTTGTAGCTAATGAAGGCTAATTCCTTTCTTTGCTAAAATGTATAAATAGAAAAAGTTTTGATAGTTGGTGTGCTTGATTTGTGGAGTACCATCTAGCACCCGGGCTTGTGCAACTGTGAAATAAACAGTCTTTCAAATGTGTAATTATTGGCTTCTTACTGGGTAATTAATCCAATTTTTGCAGACAACATCACCATCCCTGGGGGTGTTTAAGCGGTGCCTGGACCTGCCGGGTGATGTGGTTTAGTGGATTGCAGTGGTAGGGATAGGTTGGTGGTTGGACTGGGTGATCCTAAAGGTCTCTTCCGACCCTGCTGATTCTGTAGCCATGGGCTGTACATACCTCGGTCTCCCCGTAAAGATACAGTGATACAGCACAGAAGCGCTTTACCGCGCAGGCTGTATGGAGCTTATGTGAGACAGGGGCGGTTACAGCCGAGGGGCGGCTATTTTACTGTGTCCGTGCCTGCAGGTTTGCACAGCACAAATCAAATCCGCATTTGGCTTTACCAGCAGCTGATTACAGCGCTATCCCCAGCTCTGACAGGATGTATGTGCCGGCCTATTCCCGCCTCCCGCCGGCCCTGGCCGGGGCCGGGCCCGGCCCGGCCCCACCCGCGGGCCCGCCCGGCGCCCGCCCGGCGCGTCAGAGCCGCGCGACGGCGGGGCGGCCATGGGCGTCTGCCAGTTCTTCCTGCGCGGCTACTGCCGCTTCGGGGAGCGCTGCTGGAACGAGCACCCCCGCGGCGCCGCCGGCCGCCCCGGGCCGCCCCCGGCCCACGGTACCCGCTCTGCTCCGCGCCGGGACGGGAGGGCGGGGGGACGCGGCGCTGCCCGCCCCGGGCGCCGCTCCGAGCAGAGCGGGCCTGGCGGGTGTCGGCAGCAGCCTCTGACTCGGGACTCGCCGAGCTGAGCTCTGACGGAGGGTCTGGAGCACAGGTCCTGTCAGGAGCGGCCGAGGGTGTTTAGCCTGGAGAAAAGGAGACTTGGGGGCGACTTATCGCTTTCTACAAGCGCCTGACAGGAGGCTGTGGGCAGGGGGAGCTCGGTCCCTTCTCCCAGCCCACCAGGAGACACAGCCGTGAGCGGCACCACGGAAGGGTTGGTTGGGCAGTCAGAGAAAGGGTGACCGAACATTGGAATGGACTGCCCAGGGAGGTGGTGCAGTCACTGTCACTGGAGGTGCTTAAGGAAGGACTGGATGTGGCACTTGTGCCATGGTCTGGTTGACAAGGTGATGTTTGGTCAGAGGTCCGTTTGGTCAAGGTGATGTTTAGTTGAACTCGATGGTCTCAGAGCTCTTTTCCGACTTAATTGATCTTGTGATTCTGTGGCTGCGGGATGTGCCTCAAGGCAGTGGGAAAACAGCTTGGAAAACTCTGTTCTCATGAGCAGCGAGCAAGTTTCCAGCAGCTGTACCCAGTGAAGGCTGTTTCCATTGCCATCTGCTCTGGGTATGTGGGAGCTTTGGGAAGGAAAGGGGCATGACAGAGAGCTGGGGGCTGCAGTGATGGCATGGCAGGAACTCACTGCAGGTACTTGTCCTTATTCCTGCTGGAAGGAGGGTCGTGGTTTGCCTGTAACAACACACAGAGGTGTGTCCAAGGTCTCAAAATGAAACTCAGGAGCTCCCTGTGCTGGAGCAGAGCCCCTGCTGGAGCTACAGAGGCAGGAGCCCCTAACATAAACTTACAGTGCATTCAATTCAGTCTTTTTCTCCTGGGGTAGTTACTTCATGAAACAACCTAAGCAAAACTGAGCCAGTGTCTTTAGTGCCACGAGTTGTTGGCACAGTGATGTAGTTGAAGGTGTCTCTCTCATTAAGGCACAGCGGCAATGGAACTAGACTTTTAAAGGCACCTTCCAACCCAAACTGTTCTGTTTGAGAAGAAGGACTTGAGAGCTCCCCTGGGTAACTCACTAGTTAAGCTGACTTAATAATGAGGTTAACTTATTAGGAGAAAACTATGTTTTAATTTCAGACTTTTTATTGTCACTTTAAGACTAGTTATACTTACAGTTTTTGTTGATGTTGATTCATATCTTAATGATTAAAATTTGTTTGCTTTTTTGTTTGTTTGTTTTAATTGGCAGGTACTAGTGGAAGAGGAGGAGGAGGAGGATGGGGTGCCTCTAACCAGAGATACAGCAATGTTATCCAGCCATCTTCCTTCAAGTCTGACACGTGGGTTGGCAGCAGAGATCACGGAAGAGGATTCTTTGGCTCCTCTGACTTTGGATCGTCAGGAGGCAGCAGCAGAAATGCAGACTTTTCACAGAACAGGTTCTCTGCCTTAGCCAGCAGTCAG